AAAAGAGAGAGGGAGAGAGGATAGTAAAAGGAAGATAAGAGATACTGTTTCTAAATCGGTCGCACTAGTGCTGAATTAAGAGTTGCTAGTCCTTCTAGACTCGTAGTGCAAGAAATTTTTTCCAAATTAAAAAAAGAGAGAAAATAAAAAAAGAGAAAAATTGGAAAAAAAATTTCACGGAAAACGTTTTTTCTCATGCCAAAGGAAAACTTTTAAAACGGTTATGCGAAAACATGCGATAAATTTAACGGAAGCCCCCCACAACAACACACACATACAGAGAGAGAGAGAGAGAGAGAGAGAGAGAGAGAGAGAGAGAGAGATAATATTTAAATAAATATAATTTTAAATATTTAATTGCTTTGACTCTTTGACCCAGCAGTAAAGTTTCATTTTAAAAAATAAACAAGTTAGTTTTTGAAATGAAAGGTAATGTATGTATGTGTGTGTATGTGTGTGAGTGTTTGTGTGTGTATGTATGTCTGTGTGTGTGTATGTGTGAGTGAGTGTGTGTGTGTGCATGACGAAACTGTATCTTGAAGGTGATGAAAAATATAAAAATGTTGTTTCGGTTAACGATGACAACTACGATGATGATGATGATGACGACAACGACGATGATGATGATGATTGTAAAATTGTAAATGCAAACTTGTAGAAAAAAAAACCTCACCCAAAAAAAACCCAAGCACCTTGTAACAGAACTTGACGTAATAATAACGAGAGATGGCGTTATTTGCCTGATCAATAACACACACAAAATGATGATGATGATGAGGAAGACGATGATGATGATGACAATGATAATGGTGGTGGTGGTGATGATGATGAAAAACGAAAAGATGGTAATGATGATGATGATGATGCTACTGATGATGATGATGATGATGATGAGGATTATAGTTAAGACATACATACAAAAATACATAAATACATAAGTTTATACATGCATCCACCCATACATACGAAACGAAACGAAACGAAACGATCTTTTATTTGCTTCCCAAAAATAATAATTAAGAAGGCAGGATGATTGTGATCGAGCTCATGATGAGCTCATCTTGCACAGCCACCTTATCACAAATAAAACAGATGTAAGAAAATTAGAAAAAATGTTTTCAGTTAGCTTAATTAAAGTCATATTCTGTAAATATATATACACGTACATACATATATATATATATATATACATACACATACATATACGCATACACATACTCATATATAAATCATCGAGGTCAACAGAACAATGTTACATTAAATAATCATTTAATGTTAGTTTGAATTTATAAGTTTACAATTCAATTTGGTTACAAGATTTAATGTCAATTGAGTTTACAATACATATATATACATACATATACATACCCATATATACATACATAAACAAATATATATAAATCAAATATTAACAAAATAAATTTTATCCATGTACGTACATATACACTCACGCAGACACACATATATGCCTACTTTAGAATAAAAACAACTTTATATAGTATTATTAATAATAAAGCTTTTCAAATTTTTTTTAAATTGAGATAGTTGTTGCGATTCATTTGGCAAGCCCTTTTTTAGCATCATATTCCATGTTCTTGGACCTCTGGTTATGATGTGATCTGAATAGAATATGCGTCTTTGATTTAGAAGAAAGAAGAAACTTCTGTCTTCTCACGTTGTTGCTAGGTTCAAAGTAGTTTCCGAAAATTGATGGCAGCTGGTTTGAAACTTGCTTGTATACAAATATCATTGTGCAAAATGTGCATGTTTGATCAAAACTTAAATTGTTTGTTAATCTAAATAAGGATTGCGCATGTTCACATTTAGTTGATAAGGTGATGACTCTAATTGCTCTTTTCATGAGTTTTTTGACTGAGCTGGTGACTGAGGGGTATGCACCTGACCACACTACATTACAGTAAGTTACCTGAGGCATACACAAGGCATTGTATAGCATATTCAAGCATTTCCTCGGCAAGAAAAACTTTATTTTGTTTATTATACAAATAGATTTGGCTAGTTTTGAGCAGATGTTGTCTATGTGTGACCGAAAGGATAATTTCTGATCCAGAAAGACTCCCAAAAACTTGACTACTTTACTTTCAATGATGTCACAACCATTTATTACATTTTTGAAAGGTTCTTTATAATTTAAAAAATTTACTGGACCAAACACAATCATCTGATTTTTTTTCATATTTATTGTTAACTTATTATTTTTAAACGCAGTTGCTAACGTGCACAATTTCTACGTTAGTTTTTGCAATCAATTCATTGATGTTTTTGCCTACACTGAAAACATTAGT